AGGGAAACACCATTTACAGTAGCCTCAAAAACAATAAAATACTTGGGAATCAACCTAACCAAAAACCTCTACAACGAAAAATTCAGAACACTAAATAAAGAAATCAAAGAAGACCTTAGAAGATAGAAAGATCTCCCTTGTTCTTGGATAAGCAGATTTAATATTATCAAAATGACCATAGTACCATAAGCACCATACAGATTTAATGCAATTCCAATCAAAATCCCAATGACATTCCTCATAGAAATAGAAAAATCAATCATGAAATTCATCTGGAAAAGTAAGAGACACAGAATAGCTAAAGCAATCCTTAGCAAGAAGAGTGAAGCAGGTGGCATCACAATATCAGATCTTAAACTACACTATAGAGCAATAGTAACAAAAACAGCATGGTATTGTCACCAAAATACACTGGTAGACCAATGGTACAGAACAGAGGACACAGAGACTAACCCATGTAATTACAGTTATCTTATATTAGGCAAAGTCACCAAAAACATGCATTGGAAAAAAGACAGCCTCTTCAACAAAGGTGCTGGGAAAGCTGGAAATACATATGCAACAAAATGAAATTAAACCCCTATGTCTCACCATGAAAAAAACTCAAAGTGGATCAAAGACCTAGGAATTAAACCAGAGACCCTGCACCTATTAGAAGAAAAAGTAGGCCCAAATCTCCATCGTGTCAAATTAGGCACCGACTTCCTTAATAAGACTCTTATAGCACAAGATTAAAATCAAGAATCAATAAATGGAATGGATTCAAACTAAAAAGCTTCTGTTCATCAAAAGAAACAATCCATGAGATGAATAGAGAGCTTACATTTTGGGAGCAAATTTTTACCCCTCACAAATCAGATAGAGCTCTAATCTCTAAGGTATATAAAGAATTCAAAAAGATAAACACCAAAAAAAACCCCAATCAATAAATGGGCTAAGGAACTGAACAGACACTTCTCAGAAGAAGATTATACAATCAATCAAAATTTCTGTATATCAGTGACAAATCTTCTGACAAGGCAAAGAGGAAAACTACCCCATTCACAATAACCTCAAAAAAAAAGATACTTGAGAATCAATTTAATGAAAGAGGTAAAAGATCTATACAATGAAAATTACAGAACTCTAAAGAGTGAAATCAAAGAAGACCTTAGAAGATGGAAAGATTCTGCTCTTGAATAGGCAGAATTAATATTATCAAAATGACCATACTACCAAAAGCACTACACAGATTTAATGCAATTCCAATCAAAATCCCAATGGCAATCCTCATTGAAATAGTAAAAGCAAGAGTGAAATTCATATGGAAAAATAAGACATCCAGAATAGCTAAAACAATCCTTAGCAGGAAGAGTGAAGCAGGTGGCATCACTATACCAGATTTTAAACTACACTACAGAACAATAGTAACAAAAACAGCATGGTATTGGTACCAAAACAGACTGGTATACCAATGGTACAGAATAAAGGACACAGAGACTAACCCACAAAATTAAAATTATCTTATATTTGACAAAGGTGCCAAAACCATGCACTGGAGAAAAGATAGCATCTTCAACAAATGGTGTTGGGAAAACTGGAAATCCATATTCAACAAAATGAAATTAAACCCCTATCTCTCACCATGCACAAAACTTAACTTAAAATAGATCAAGGACATAGGAATTAAACCAGAGACTCTGAGTCTAATAGAAGAAAAAGTAGGCCCTAATCTTCATCATGTGGGATTAGGCCCCAACTTCCTCAATAAGGCTCCTATAGCACAAGAATTAAAACCAAGAATCAATAAATGGGACGGAATCAAACTAAAAAGTTTCTTCTCAGCAAAAGAAACACTCTGTAAGGTGAACAGAGAGCCTGCATCCTAGGAGCAAATATTTACCCCTCACACATCAGATAGAAATCTCTAGGGTATATAAAGAACTCAAAAAGTTAAACATTGAAAAAACAAATAATCCAATCAGTAAATGGGCCAAGGACCTGAACAGACATTTCTCAGAAGAGAATATACAATCAATCAACAAATATATGAAAAAATGCTCATTATCTCTAGCAATCAGAGAAATGCAAATCAAAAGTACTCTAAGATGTCATTTCACTCCAGTCAGAATGGCAGCTATTATGAAGACAAACAACAATAAGTGTTGGATAAGATGTAAATTGGTGCAACCAATATGGAAARCAGTATGTTGATTCCTTGTAAATCTGGGAATGGAACCACCATTTGACTCAGCTATCCTTCTCCTCCTCCTTCTCCCAAAGGACTTAAAAACAGCATACTACAGGGACACAGCCACATCAATGTTTACAGCAGCACAATTCACAATAGCTAAACTGTGGAGTCAACCTAGATGCCCTTCAGCGGATGAATGGATAAAAGAAAAGTAACCTATATACACAATGGAATTTTACTCAGCAATAAAAGAGAATAAAATCATGGCATTTGCAGGTAAATAGATGGCACTGGAGAAGATAATTCTAAGTGAAGTTAGCCAAAACAAATGCTGAATGTTTTCTCTGATATAAGGTGACTGACTCATAGTGGGGTATGGAGGGGGAGGATGGGAGGATTAGATGAATTCTAGATAGGGAAGAGGGGTGGGAGGCAAAGGGAGGGGGCAGGGGATTAGCAAGGATGGTGGAATGTGATGGACATCATTATCCAAAGTTCATGTATGAGGACTCAAATTGGGTGTCTACATACTTTATATACAAACAGCGATATGAAAAATTGTGGTATAGATGTATAAAAGGAATTGTAATGCAAAAAAAACCCAAAGTACATGTATAAAGGCATGAATTGGCGTGAACATACTTTATATACAAAGATATGAAAAATTGTGCTTTATATGTGTAATAAGGATTGTAATGCATTCTGCTGTCGTGTATTTAAAAAAATAAAATCAATAAAAAAAATCAACAAATATATGAAAGAAATGTTCAACATCTCTAGCAATTAGAGAAATACAAACAAAAATACTCTTAAGATTTCATCTCATTCCAATCAGAATGGTAGCTATGAAGAATACAAATAACAATAAATGTTGGTGAGGATGTGGGGAAAAAGGCATCCTCATATTGCTGGTGGAACTGCAAACTGGTGCAGCCAATATGGAAAGCAGTATGAAGATTCCTTGGAAAACTGGGAATGGAACCACCATTTGACCCAGCTATCCCTCTCCTCAGTCTATACCCAAAGGTCTTAAAACAGCATACTACAGGGACACAGCCATATCAATGTTTATAGCAGCACAATTCACAACACCTAAACTGTGGAGCCAACCTAAATGCCCTTCAGTAGATGAATGGRAAAAGATATGTGGTATATATACACAATATAATACTATTCAGCATTAAAAGATAATAAAATCATGGCATTTGCAGGAAAATGAATGGAGCTGAAGAATATAATATTAGGTGAAGTTAGCCAATCCCTAAAAACCAAATGCCAAATGTTTTCTCTGATAAACAAATTATAGTCACTCAAGTCTACTGGTTAAGAGGTTATGTTCTGAAGTTTGTTGGCCTTGTTTGAATTGCAGTGAAGCCATGTACTAGGTGTGTAAATTGAGGCCAACTATTTTGTCTGAATAAGTCTCAATTTTCTTATCAATTAAGCAGGAATAACAATAACACTTACCTCATAGAATCATTATGAGAATTATAGGGATCCATGATTGTATGAATTACATGAATCAATTTGCATAGAGCATAGTAAATAGTGCACTCAACAAAATTTAGCTTTTACCAACATTAAATTAAATATTTGATATGAGCAACATTGACATAATTATGGAAATCACTTTATGAACTTGAGATATCAAAATGTACCTGTAAATCCTGAACATTTAGCCATGAAGCAGTGTAAGGAAGGCCAGTAAGCAAATCATTAGTACGTCAAGAAATATCCATTCTAAAACTAAATTATAATCCCAAAGCTAAAGGAATAGTGGTTTGGTTTTCACCTACCCCCAATAACTTTAATTTGTTCCATTCCAAGCTCCCTGGGAACCTTCCTGAAAAGCTAAAGGTAATGCTAACAGGAAGAAAGGGAGCATCCTTTGAGTTTACAATCTCTTTGGGGCCCTTCTCAGCCTCTTAGGTCAACCTGGATTCACAGGTAGAACTTCTGAGATGATTCTGCATTCAAACACAAGCCACTGATTTGCTGTATTTTGGATTCAAATCCTGGAATAACCTCAACATTCAGAGAATATCCTTTATGTGGTATGGCATGACCACAGATCAATACTTTCATCTACAACTGTAGTTAATCGGCTACCTATCCTATAATGTATCAAAACATTTGTCTCCCAGGTAGAGATAATCTTGTAAATCAGACTCAATAAAACACATCATGAAGCTTGAAGAAACCAATGGCTAGTTAGTATCCATGCTGAACAACATCAAATGTCTTTGCTTCTTTTTCTTTATTTGTTAAATAAAAGTGTTTAAATCCATTGGAGAAAAAAAAAATCAAGCCATTGAGTCTAACATGGTCTGGCTCTGGACCTCTTGAAAAGATTCTGTCTACTGAAGAAAGATAACTCATTTCCTTCTTACTTTTAAAACCTTCCAAAGGGGGGAAAAAATCTACTTTCACAGTATCTTATAATAACATGCCTGACTGTCAGCAAGTTCTGTGCCTCCACCGCTCCACCCTGGCTTCCTCTCCTCATCATGCAAATTGCCATTGGCTTTAATTAGATTTAATAAGCCATTGGGAAGTGCAGCAGGGAAATGGAGAGCAAAGATTACACAGTGTGGGCTTACTCTTGCATGTCCAGCACAGCATTTCTCTGGAACTCTCATATCCTCCCAGGCTGGGAAAATAATGAATGCCAAGCGTATGGAAAGACATGCTGTTGCTGCTGCTGCTGTCCAAATGTGAAACGTGGGTGGAGAGAAATCATTAAAAAAAAAAAAAAAAAGTAAGGGAAAAGGGAAAAGGAACCCGAATCCCCAACAGCTGCAAATAAGGAAACATGTGAATCTGTTACCTCGGATGAACTCTGATTTCCTGCTCACAGACGGCAGGGTCCTGTTGAGCCCCAAGATCCTATCCAGGTGGAAGGCAAACACCTCACTCATGTCCAGTGGTTGCTTGAGCAAGCCACAGGGGCTAGGGCCACAGCGAGGCAGTGAGCCAGCTGTGCTCCCTTCCAGCACCAGCAGGCGGGCACCACTCCTTGAGGACACAGGCTGGACTCCCGCCACCGCACCATCTGCCAACAGGCGCATTCTGCGGATGTCTTCTCTGCTCAGCCACGAGGGGGCGCTCTCGCTGTAGATCCTGATGTTGCTCTCTCTGGCTTTGGGCAACTGGAAGTCTAAGACCCCAGCTCGGACTCCAGGGCCTCGCACCAGCCTCCAGGATGGTTCTCCAATCTTGGCCAGGTTTCCTCCCTGAGCATACCCAAGCACTTCAGCATCAGCTGCCCTTGCAGCATCCTGTGTCTGAAAGGACGGTCCAACCAATGCTTCCTGACCAGGGATACCAGATGCAACTGCATATTTCTTCCTGCGCTTGGGTTTCACAGTGCCACGGATATTGGCAGGCTTGCTGCGCTTGGAGCGTAGGGTAATGTACACCACGTTGGGCTGTAAGGTGGTCCCATTGCCCTGGGACTCAGGAGGAGCCAGGGTGCCATCCAGGGGGATCTCAGGAAAGGATGCCTCTGCAGAGTCGCGGCTGCGGGGTGGCCTCTTGTCGGCTGCTTGTCCGTGCTGGATTGAGGCCCGCCCCACCTGGCTAACCAGAAAGCCCAGGTAGATGGCACAGGCAGTGCCCAGCAGAAGGTTCCTCCGGGTCCTGGGACGCCGGCTGCTCCAGAGTTTACGCGCCCTCGGGACGCACAAGGAGCAGATGAACCAGTTTATGAGTTGCCCTGGCTTGTCTGGACAGGTCATTTCTCTGCTGTATCCACATGTTGAACAGAGTTTAAGGTCTGCAGTTGGCTCCTGCTGATACGATGCATGGTTTCCTGAATTCAGCTGTCGTGTCCGGTTGGTTATCTAAGTGGTCTCCAGTGGGTTGAAGTGGAAGGGAAGTCTTGGTGATAGAGCTGAGAATGTTTTTGACACTCGCCACAACAAACCTTTTAAACTTCTATCAACCTCCCCAAGGAGAAATGAGAGTTGATTCTGGGAATGAATGGAAACAGAGTTAACTGAGTCACATCTCAAACCGTTTCAGTTCCTCTACAAGAGGAAAGAAAAAAAAGTAACCCTTTCCTTCCATAAATTTTACCACTAAATACGTGAAGTTTAAAAAATGAAAGCAAAATAGATGTGTAGGTTTACATTCAGTTTAAAGCTGTGAAAACAAGCCACGAAAAATCCAAGAATATTTTATGACTTGTAGCTAGAGTCTTTTAATTTGATTCTGAAGCAAAGCAGTAAAATTTGACCAACCTGGGCTTTTCCTTTTTTCACAGCAGAAATAACTTAAGACAGATGGCTTTTAAAAATTTATAGCTATCCTACATTATTTTCAAAAATCATGCATTAACTAATTAGGCAGGAGCACAAAGTATTAACATTCAAACTCAGGAACATATTATCTTAATCTAATGGTATACAGATTTTTCTTCACAATGTGTTCCATTATCTTATTTTAAATGTTACTATAATATAAAGCCATAAATGTCTATACAGCACGGGAGCACTTACATTTATTCAGTCACACACAAACACACCAAACACAAATCCAACTACTTTTCATTTATTTTCTTTCCACCAAAGTCAGCTGAAAGAAAACAAAAGAATCTCTAGTACAATCTCTTCACATTATTAGAAAAGAAGAAACTCGTAAGCAATCTTACTTACACAGCTGGACTCAAGCTTGGCTCCAGGAAGAATGTAATCCCTGACTCTAATGCAAAGAACTTCTAAAGGCTGAGGCATGTAAGTAGAACATATTTCATGGTCAAGAGTGTTCCACAGTTCAAACATTTCAGCTCAGCTTTAAAACTCCCTCAAAAATCACCAATGGCAAGGCAAAATGGATACTTGTAAACTAGCTACTGACGTTTTCAGACATCCAGGGATTTGGTAAAGAAGATTTGAAAAATAAAGTTTAATTTTATATTCTAAAAAAACAAATGCCGTACAGAATCAGTTTTCATTCAAACAACTTTCCGCTTATTTTTAACCCCTGGGAGCCCTCTAGTGTCCTGTTTGCAAACAGACTCAGAAATGTCAGTCTTGTGAGGTTAAAAAGTATCTGGAGTGTTTGTTTAGTTTGGTGGAGCAGCCCATGCTGAATAAATACCTTGTAAAATAAAGAATGCCATTGCCCCTCTGTCCATCCCAYGTATCTGGAGAGTGGAGCACCAGGATTCCAGGACCTAGCACTTACCTCACCATCCTGGCCATTTGCAGAATAGCACTTGTCTCCCAGTTCTGGGAAGAGAAGGCCTAGAAGATCAGAAAAGCTAAGAAAGGGTTACGATGAATGAGAGAGAAATAGAACAGTGAGATAAGAGTGCAGAGATAGGGAGAGACATTTATAGTGAGCAGTTACATGGTGCAGCAGTTCACAAAAAGCAGTCATGGGGCCTCTCTGATTGGAGGCTTAAAAAAAAAAAAAAACAGGTTAGGGATTGGCCTAGGTTGTTTGTAAGTCTTGGTACAAAGGCGGGGGAGCTGATGACCTTGGGCTCTCACTTTGGCTTATTCTATTTGCTTGTATGGCAAAGGGAATCAGAAGTCAAAAAGGCACAAAGGGAAACAAGGACTTTTTTCTCCCTACTAAAAAAAAAAGGTTGTGACACTGGGAAGTAAAGTGGGAAAGAGATTACAGCATGGTGTAAGGTCTTAAAAGTTCTATATTTTATAATGAAAAAAAAAAAGAAGAAGAAGAAGTGCTAGGGAATTGGAATAGGTAGAGAAGGAAAGAGAAAATGTCAAAGTGGTTAAAAAAAAAAAACCACAAATTATAACAGGACTGTTATTTCAGCTTTTTTAAACTCAGACCTTTTTCCTTTTTAAAAAATCTCCTACTGAAAAGGGAAAGAACAATTCCAATATTGACAGTAGCCTAGAAGTACCTGGAGGTTTTTACTAACTTCAAGAGAAGGCAGGTATCAGAGCCATTTTCTGTATGAGCCCAAACTCTTAAAGCACACACTTCCATAAGCACAGAATTATTTTCTAGAAAGTAAATATGAACTTCTTAAAAGGAAACCATGGTACAGCTGCTTTTCATAAGTAGCTAATAATTTTCACATATTTAGAAGAAATGACCTGAATCTTTTAAAATTAAAAGGGCTCAGAGGTAGAGCGCTCGCCTAGCATGCGTGAGGCACTGGGTTCGATCCTCAGCACCACATAAATATAAAATAAAGACATTGTTTCCACCTATAACTAAAAAGGGGGGGGGGCTGGGGTTGTAGTACAGTGGTGAAGCACTTACCTGGTAGGGTGGGGGTCCTGGTTCCACTCTTAGCGCCACAAAAGATAAAAAATAAAAAGTCTTTGGTAAAGGCCAGATGATGATAAGCAGAAGTCTCCTCCAACTATTTTTAAAGCAACTTTTTAAGTAGAGAAATGACTAGAAAGCAAGTAGATTTGTCTGAGTTGGTAAATTTGATTGAATCCCTTCAGAAATGTCTCTATTAGGAAAAAAAAAAAAGAAATTCATTGCCTCCTCTTACAGAGGAGGCTAAAGCATATGATGATTGGAAAATGGGCTGCAGAGGAGAAAGCCCAGCTTCAAGTTCTCCTTCCTCCTTCATTTGCTATAGGTGGTGCCCTGGGACATATAATTATATTGTCTGAGCTTTTGTCTCCGTATCTTTAAGGGAAGAAGAATAATAGCACTCAGCCCTGGTGGATTTCTCGTAATGATTAAAATAAGATAATGGCAAGGGAGTGGTCATTTGGAATAGTCAGCAAAGTGTTTATCTCCCCCACAATCCACACACCTTATCRAACTTCTCAAAGACCCTCCCTACACCAAGGTATTTTGGTAGAATTGAGAACAAGAATGGAATTCATCCAATTTTATCACTCCTCCCACTGCCCAAACCTGATCTGGAGTGTGTGTTACTGGGAATTGAACCCAAGGCCTCACAAGTGATTACCAAATGCTGTGCTACTGAGCTAAGTCCCCAGTCCCTAGTAGCTCTTTCAGTACCCTTGGATGCAATCTCAGATAAGGTTACCTGACTTTTCTAGTTACACTTAGATTTCTTCTAGGTTCTTCAGTCATTGTTATAGGCATATAAATATATGTATACCCATATGACGCTTTGGATCTGAGGTGTCTTTCCAAAGCTCCTGTGCTAATACAGGAATGTTCAGAGGTAAAATGATTAGATTAACTTTCTATAAAAATTATCTACCAAAAAAAAGGGTCCAAAAGTACACAATTAACTTAGCGAGACCCTAAGCAACTTAACACATCTGTCTCAAAATAAAAAATGAAAAGGGCTAGGGATGTGGCTCAGTGGTTAAGTGCCCCTATACAAAAATAAATAAATAAATATAATAAGACAAGGGTACAGCTCATTATACTTACCTGGGGAGTTTTTCATACATCTTAAGAGGAAGGAATGAATAGTCACAAAGAAGCAATATGAGTGAGGACTGGGGGTTGTGGTAATAGGCTATTTCTTCACATTTACATATTTTTATATATCTTTTCATTCAATAAAATTTAAAGATTTCGTGGATAAACCAGTATTCATATTATAATGTTTATACTCCATGAATTTTATTTATGTTTATAAGAGGAGAAGAGAATAAAATCTTCTATATCTTTTATTTGCAATGGAGACTCCGTATTAGTTTGATTGTTTTAAAATTAAATTTTAGAGATAAAGAACGATAAAATCACTGAAAACTTTTAAAATATATGGTTGCCTAGGCTACATACTTTCCCAGAGATTCAAATTCAATTGATCTGAGTGGACCCCAGGAATTCATAGTTTTAAAAACTTACAATGTTCAGGGTGATGGTTCACTATTCTAAGAGCTAAAATAGCTTGTTCCCAAAGCATCTTTTTACAGTAAAATGATAAGTCTTAGGTTTCACTGGCAATGAAATCTGTAAATCTTTCAAGACTTCCAATTTTAAGACTCAAGTGTGGTAAAGGCTGTTTTGCCTTCAGCCTGGGAAAAGTCCTAGACTGGTAGACAGTAAGCCTTCATATTCCCCTCCCACTGCACCTCACTTCCCCCCTCTCCTGTCATGGGTAAAACTTGCTGTGTGGCTCAAGTTTACCCACCTGCTGAAAGCCATTCAGAAAATGAGAAAAAATATATAAGTTCTCCAATTGTTGGAAAGCTGAGTACTAAGTTTTCCCTTGTTGTGGACCATGCTTGTTATGCATATTACAAACCTGCAGATGGAAACCTGGTTCTAGGCTGATCAAAAACTTCCACTGTGTCCCTGACCCTAATTCACCACCCTACTGACCTCTAAACCCACACCCCTTTCTAGAACAATTATCCCAGCTTTAGCCTAATATAATCTCTGTCCTGTTTGCCATATGAAATTTGCTAATACTTCTGCTATTCATTCTAACATATGGCCTGGATAGCACCAAACTGCCCTATCCTGCCACTGAAAAGCCCTTCTCCTAATAATCTTTTGTCATATAGATGTTTAAATGATACCAAGGAGTTTTCAATGCTTCAAATAATACTCCCTGGTTTATGTATTTAAACTGTATGTAAAAGAATTCATATAGCATTGTTTTATTAAAATATGTGCATATTCATATGACTCATGATTGCTCACCCTAAGGACATCTTTCCTGTTGATCTATACATACATCTGCAGTAGGAGAAGCACTTTAGAAGTTCACCTATTTCAGAGCTATAAATCCATGAAGCAACACTGAGGGCCATAGCTTAATCTCTGATATGTGACCAAGAAAACACCAAGTAGGAATGACTCCAGGGGATGAGAGCCTGAATTTGCTTGTGTGGGTGTTCTTTCCTCTCTACTCTTAAAAGAATACTGAGGCTCCTTGCCTTTTACCAGTATGGAAATCTCCTGCAATAAACCATTTAGCCTCATCTCCCTAGGAATGTCTGTTAAATTTCCTTAAAAATGTGTGTAAGGATGATTCTGCCACATGACCAGAAACTGAACAGAGGGTAAAACAATAAATAGACAAAAAGTGTAACAAACAATTTGACTTATATTTGAAATGACAAGTATTTTAAGGTTATTCATCATCTCTTAATAAATTACACAACTTATTCACATTAGGATAATTAGCATTTTCTCATAGTTCTGAGAATAATTCATACAGCCATCACAGAGTTAAAAGTAAAATAGGTAGATTGGTGGTTGGCCTGTGCTTCCACTCAGCACCCCCAAACAATCTGGACAACTAAGCGAGTGGGCAGAAGAGGGCACCGAGGCCTCAGACCCCTGCCTGCCATTCTTGCCACCAAACTGCACACAGGGGACATGCTGGTCCCCRGTCATTTTTGGTCTAGAGAGAATAACACATGCAGCAGTGTTTTGTGCCTTTGTATTGCAGTAGACAAATCTGTCTCAGTCCTTGGGATCTTTGCTAGCACAAAGCAGCAAATTCTCTCTTTTCTCTTCACTTAAGGTGCAGTTTATATGAAACAAAATAAGCTGTCGTGTTACATTTCAAGGAAGGGAGGCCCCTGTTAGGGTTTAGATGTGAGGTGTCCCCCAGAAGTTCATATGTGAGACAATGCAAGAAGGTTCAGAGGAGAAGTGATTGAGCTGTGAAAGACTTAACCCAATCAGTGAATTAATCCCCTGGTGGGATTAACTGAGTAGTAACTGGAGGCAGGTGGGGTGTGGCTGGAGGAGGTGGGACATTGGGGTCATGGCTTTGGGGTATATATTTGTATCTGGCAAGTGGAAATTTCTCTCTCTGCTGTCTGATCATCATGTCAGCTGCTTCCCTTTGCCATACTCTTCCACCATGAGGTCTTGAGCCCCAGGGAAGAGAGCCAGCCACTTATGAACTGAGACCTCTGAAATCATGAGTCCCTAAACAAACTTACCTCC